GAGGTGGGAGTGGGCGGGTGTAAGGTGGGGTGACCTAGTACTGGGGGGGGGGGGGAGACGAAAATAGCTTTACGAGGCGTCGCGGTGTTGCGTGGATGAGGGTGGAGGAGGGTCAGGTGTGGCGAGATCCGGTAGGGTGACATGGGTGTGTATGATGCATCAGCCATAAAACACCCCATGTCAACGATAACGAACAATGCTTGTTCTGGTTGCGCTTTGTAGTTGTGTCTGCAATAAAAATGTGTACTTAAATCTGACAAAATCATAACCATAGACGTAACTCACAGTAGGCTAGAAGTAAAATAAACTAGTAGTGGATTTGGGATACATTCAGGGGGGTGGGGAGGGACTGGCTGGGGAAATAACACGGCCCCTTACCGACTTAAATTTTCAGAATTTTCACTTGTGCAATTTTAATTTTTTATTCATCAAGGCATAAGGACGGATGCCTACAAAATCACATGACAATTGCAATATACAATCTACAAGAGACAGATCAAAGGGGTTAATTAAATAACTTTTTTTCTAGAAGAACTAATAGCAGCAATCTTGGCGGCCTTGTCTATCTATGGATAATCAATGTCATTTAATGTTTTTTCCCGATCAAGCGTGTTAGGGTTCGCTACATCAGCGTCACACGGGGAGGGGGTGGACCGCACCGGGCGACACCCGACCTAGTGACGCCACGTCCTGTCATCATTTATAGAAACATCAACCAAAAGCACCTTGCAGCCCTAACCCTTATTAAGCTTATCATACAATGTGACAAGCTATTCAAACACTAGGCTTGTAATTGTACTATACAAGTGCGCATTCAAGAAGAAACAACACACACACAACAACTGTTTCCCAAAACACAGGACGTGTGAGTTTCGTGCGACATGTGTTTAGCTCGCCCGGTGTGTATGATGTCCATATCGGTTACAATATCGACAACAACCCCCCACCCTCTCCCTTTCTCTAACCTCCACGCACGTGGTACGTCGCACAGGTGTTTCCCCGAGTACCAATCTAGGTCACACCATGGCCGGCCCGCCGACCTGTTGCCATGGCAATCGGCTGTTATCCACGTGACACAAAAGTCAACTGGGCTGGTCGCAGTGTGCCGTGTGTCGCGGGCTGTCGTCCGTCTACACACTCACGTTTCATTCATGTTTACACACGACCCACCTTCACGTCCAGTGGCGGACTAACAAAAGGGGGTGATCTGGCTGGAGCCCAGGGCCCCGGAATTACATACATTTACTGTCTTTTTACAAGACTACTATTATATAGGTTCCAAATACTATCTTATAACTGTTACTTATATATAGTGGTCTTAAACAGGGTATCTTTCAAACTATTTGCATCGAGGAGGGAGGGCAATTACATTTTGAATTCTAATTTTGTTTCTATTTCGTCCGCATTGGTGCAATGGACCTGAGTGGACAGTATCGGAAAGATGCCTATAAGAAACACTGGGTCAAAACACTATTTTGATAACCTTCCATAAGGTTATCATTAATATTACATTAATAGCATTCTATAGGGCCCCCTAGATACTGTCTTATACATATAACAAGATCTAAATATTACTATCATTCTAGTCGGGGGCAGTGGAGTAGCCAGGAATTGGTCGTGGGAGGGGTTCAAAAATGTTTCCATACGTATATAATCTTTTATATATATATATATATATATATATATATATATATATATATATATATATATATATATATATATATATATATATATATATATATATATATATGGGTCCATGGGAGGGGTTATAACCCCTCCCCCCCCCCTTGCCTACGCCACTGGTCGGGGGGTCTCCGGATAGATTTCGACCCGGACCGCAGTCTATCTTAATGAGATCCCACTCACACCATACGATAAAACACGTCTTAACTTCCGACACTTGTTTACTGCATTCAAAACCCGAGTGATCGAACACAACTTACACCGAAGGTCGGCACTCTCAACACAATAGGGACTAAAGCAGACGAAGGCAAAAAGCGAGGTGGCAATAAAAGAGGTGCTTTGTGGAGAAGAAAAATACAAACTGATTTCCTCTAGCGGGAGACGTGTTTAGCCGAGTACGTCGATATTGTTTAACGGCACTCATAGTTTGAATGGGGAAAAATATCTTTTAGAATCAACGGTGTGGAACTTTGCATTATTGGGGGGGGGGGGGGGGAGGAATTTATAAGTATAAATGTAAAGAAGGAGGGAGAGAGCAAAGCGTAGCATATAAGAAACTTACTAATAGCTTTCGTTGTAAAACATAATGCTTGCAAAGTTTCGTACATAGGAGAAACAAGAGTAAATCACTTAAAATCAGATACCATTTTAGGTAAAGTCACCAAAATCATTTCAAAATGAAGATAAGTAAATTTTCAACACAGTGACAAAGATCTATATTAAACGTAAAAGTTTTAATGTGTGAATCAGTTTTTAATTAAAAAATGCCTTTTTTTAAAAAAAAAATGAGCACACGTATGTTCAAAATATATTGAACATGATTCGATATTAAGTTATTCAATGCGACATTAAATTTTAAAGATTTAAACATGTTACCTCAAGTAAGATTAGTTTGGCAATGTTTCAAAATTTTTATCAGGCATAAAAAAAGCAAACCAAGTATCGACATTATTATAATGTACCTGTATTATTTACGAACTCGGATCTTTTCCAACTCTGCGATTCATTTGGGCATTTAAGAATGGTTACAATACCTGACTTACAAGCTTACACTAAAAATAATAAATAAAAAAAACGCGAGACATGGACTAAAAAAAATTGAATCCTTAGATCCGACGCGACAGGGTGGATTTAGCGTGCCCCGAAAAGGTATCGATTCCACAGTTCCAAAACATAAGTTATTACCGGTTTTTTTTAATTTTTAAATTACTGCGTTCTAGAAATTGAGATAAGGGCCCACGTAAACTAGAAGCAAGGGTGCGGCGGATAAACAGGGCGGTAAACTTATCAATAGAATATATTTATACACTAGATCAGCCAAGTTTGTTTTCTGCTTGTACCAATGCCAATTTTTTTACTTTCTCGTATATACGAAGTATAGAGAAAGTCTTGTAATCGTGCAAAAAAAAAAATCGAGATTATTACAAATCTCGACGTTTTACACCTCACTGATACGGAAAAACATAATTTTGCAATCTTGTCCGTATGTCTGTGTGTCTGTCTGTGTGTCTGTCTGTGTGTCTGTCTGTCTGTCTGTCCGTGTGTAAACACGATAACTTGAGTACCGTTACAGCTAGGTTGATGAAATTTCATATATAAGTATTTTATCAAAATCGTAGATCCGTATCAACTTTTGAGCGATTTCCGATAACCGGAAGTGGTACTTTTCCTACTTTGAATTTTTCAAAAGCCTATAACTTGAGTACTAGTTCAGATAGATAAATGAAATTTCACATGTAAGTAAAAGATCTAATTCTCTACCTTCTGTTAAATTATGAGTAATTTCCGTTGACTGGAAGTAGTAATTTACGCTACTTCCGATTTCTCAAAAAACGAATGTAAATTTTAAAAGTACTAATAATATTGCGCACTATTATGCGCTTTTTTATTTGGCGTTCACTTGGTGTGCAATTAATTTGACTACGAGATTTTATTCTATTTTTAAAACTTTAAGTATTTAAAATGGATTAAAAATCATGTCTATAGCCCGAGTTCCCATCCCCTGTTATTTTATATAAGAATATTCGAGAAAGTTTAGGGGAGATCCCTCCCGGTTTATTCTATTTTAGTCTTTGTACTATGATGCCAATTGCAGTGTACTGCTAGAAAGAGCTATCGGGAGGGGGGGGGTGGTGGACATTACACTTATATATATATATATATATATATATATATATATATATATATATATATATATATATATATATATATATATATATATAGTCCAGTGAGGTTAGACTTGCCCCCCCCCCCTCCCCGAAGACACCGATCTTGATTCAAAACAACATTTGTGATTGTCTATGAAACGACAAGACCTGTAACTTGCTCCATGTTTGTTTTACGGTTAGATAGTATCGAATATCTTTTGCCGGTACCTCAATAGGTAACTCTATATCAAATAACTGGATACAGCCCTCGATACTTCAGTTCTCCCCCCCCCCTTCTCTATCACAGCAGAGAACATGAGAAACGCAATGGGATTTAAAACATTTTTAATGCTTTAAACCTATTCTCCTATTGCGATAAGTGCATTAATCGTGTGTACGGCTGTGTACAACGTGTTGGGTTTAATATTTGTACACCACGTACCTGACATAATTGATAAGACCGGTAAAACCGATAAGACGATACCCAGCCCTAGGACGGGATGTGTTCACACCGAACCGTTGACAAGGGTACGAATAATCAAATATCGAGCTCGCAAGTACACTGTACAGAAATAGCTCACCACACACTCACAAAAATACACACTCAACCCCCGGACGCTGTGTCATAGGCGCTGATCCTAACCCTAACCCACAGACCCAAACCCAAAGATCCAAACCCACAGATGCTAACCCAAACCCACAGATGCGAACCCTAACCCACAGATGCTAACCCTAACCCACAGACCCAAACCCTAACTCACATACCCAAACCCTAACCCACAGATGCTAACCCTAACCCACAGATGCTAACCCAAACCCACAGACGCTGACCCAAACCCTAACCCAAAGATGCTGACCAATCTATTTTTTTCTTCACCCTAACAAAATCATCCCACCTTCTTCAAGTGACTGGGCTATTTTTAGCGCAAACCCTCGTATAAAAGTACTCTCCCTCCCCCCCCCCCCCCTCCTCAAAGTTACCTGAGTCTAGTCAACTAACACGTCGCCTCGGGTTTTTACGGGGCGAAATTAAATAAAAAGAAAAAAAAATCCTAAGCAGAAAAATGCGAATTTACCGAAAAAGCCCGCAAACTATGTCACCGTCGGTATGCCTCGGCGGGCGGGGGTGGGGACGGAGGACGCTACATCGTACGATTTGCAATTTCGTTCGTGACACACAGTTGGATGTGTGCGTGTGTGTGTGCGTGTGTCCCGCCGTAGATAAGCCAGCCTCGAGAGAGGAAGGACTACTTCTGCAGTGGATAAACTACACAAGAGGAAAACATCATTTTTTTACCCCCCTCCTCCTCTCTCTCTCTCTCATTCATCTGAAGATTGGAGTAAATTAAAAACTGTTGTCGAGCTAAACTCAATTGATATAAAAACATTCAAGTAATTTAAATGCCCGGTCACGTGTTTTCATGGAGGAGTAACTAATCTTGCCCAGGTAAGTTTTAGTTAGTTTTACACCTGATAGTGATAGATTTTAAATTGAAATTACTAAGATTTGTATAAGCAACTACTGCATGTCTGACGTTTACTTGTTTATTAAGTAATAGAAGTAGATTATAAGAATACACAGTTGAAGATGTAGATTATTGTAGATGTAGATCTAGATTCTATATTTTATGTATTAAAGTTAAAGTATAATGTATTCTGTAGAAGTCGAAGATCTAGAAAATCTAGATCTATAGCTAAGTAATATAAGTATTTAGAATCTAATCTAGATCTAGTATAAGAAGACATAGTTAAAGATCTTGAACTAGATCTAGATTCTAGATATAGATCTATAGGCCCGTGGAGAAAGTAGATCTAGATCTAGATCTTAGATCTGCTTCAAAATCTTCAAAGTAAACCTGAATCATGCAGCAACGAGATACAACAATTGTTTTAATTTAATCTTTTTTTAATAGTCATTTAGAAATTTACTAATTTAGGCGTCCGTGGAAAAAAAAATATCGATTCTGCACTAATAGTATTCTATAACTAATTATACTAACTTAACTATAAATATCTTCAAGAATCAAGAATAACGCGCAACTTCAAGTAAACATGTGTATTCTAGGGATATCTAACTTTATGTACTAGACTATATAGACCAGTCAATCTTGAGTTTCTAACCAGAGCTTGACATCTTGGGCTACAGATTCTCATAACGACAGAGAAAAAAATACCCCAGCTGTGTGACATTGTGTGGGGAGGCGAGACATTTAAATTGCGCAACAGACTGAACTAACAGGTTATACTTTTCACCTGTGGCTGGGGGGGGGGGGGGGTCATAGCACAATTGTGATATTGATATTTTGGTTGGCCTACGTGTTTGTTGGGGTGAATTGTTTCTTTTTTTTTCTTTTCTTTATATGAAGTGTTAGACTTGTGTAGATCTGGTTACTAGATCTAGTAATAGGCCAGTCCAATGCAGTATTTAAATTATTTCGTGTTTACTCAATGCTTTTTTTAAAGAACGCACTAGATCTAGAATCTTATGTTGATTTTATTCTGGAAAAAAAATACTTTTTCCCCAGTACATTAACCCCCCCCCCCCCCCCCCCCCAACAAGTGGCTTTCTTCTAAAGTCTGCACGTTGTGTTTAGGCCCAATCGAAATTAGTATGCAGAACTGGATACGATTTTTTAAGTTCGTGTTAAGAAAAAGAAAAGTTGGTTTATGGGGCGGGGTAGTTACATGCTTGAGTGACAGAGCATGTCCGATGCTTGAGAGGGGGGGGGGGGGGGGGGGGGGAAACAGACAGCAGAAATTCTGTGAATGAAATTCAACCTTTACAGAACAAGATTTTCAGCAGACGGCATGTGGACTAGACAAGACTACATGATGGGTGGGGTGAAGGACGATCGTGTACCTCCGCGATGTTTGCGCAAAAAGCGTAGCGGAAAAAAATAATTCACCATCATTCGGAGTGTTATCGATTGCTCATTGCTCGGCAATTAGTCTGTAATCGATTGTCAGATGCATGTATAATTTAAATGGCGCATTTTTTTTGTAAGGGGATTATTAATTTCGATTTTATTACGCTGGTTTTACCAAACACATCGTATGTAGACCGAGTAGTAGGTCAGAACATCGTAATATTTCGCTCTTACTCAATGTTTAACAGCGTTCTAAATCTATTTGGATTTTATTTTAAATATGGGATTATTTTCGATTTTATTGCGTTAGTTTCAACAAATACACAAATGCCGCTCTCATCCCCCTGCTGTGTATTCTACTTTTATACACACCCCTAAACAATGGATCCATACGCACCCCCATCAACACCTACACACCAATGCCTCCCACCCCACACCCCCTCCACCCACAACGACAACACAATTGTTCCCATTTTAATGCTGGCTACTTCCATCTTAAGAACACTCCCCCCTCCACCACAACGATTAACAAATTGTTCCTAGATAATGCTTTATACTTCCATCCTAAGAACACCCCCCCCCCCCTCCACCCACAACGATTAACAAATTGTTCCCATAGTAATGCTGGATACTTCCATCTTAAGAACCCCCCCTCCACCATAACGAATTGTTCCTAGATAATGCTTTATTCTTCCATCCCAAGGCCCCCCCCCCCTCCCCGAGGTAGTCGCCTTGTTCTCCCCTCTACCCTAACACAAATGCTTCTCCCCCCCCCCCCTGTAGCGTGTCAAAGCTCTAGTGTGTGTAGTAAAAAAACAACAAACCCCACAATCCAGCCACACCGCTGTGTGTCACCGACGAAAAAAACGTGCTCCAGAATGTGCTTGAAAGATTATCCTCAGTTTCCTTTTACCCCTCCTCAGCCAGTCCGTGTCAAAATACCGAGGGTCCCTACCACTTCCTCGACTTCCATTTCTGAGAACATTTTTCCTCCCTTAGTATATCAAAATGCGTTAAGTAAAGAATCCTTTTTAGGCTTAGCAATCCATTGGGCCGATGAAGTAGAGTTCATGTTTCTTAACCTTAACATATAAAGGAAGGTGTGGTCAGCTCTTCGCCCCAGCCGCCATTACTTTCCCTAACATGAGTTAGGTACCCATCAGAGCTGGACCCGGATTCGAACTCAAGACTTTTTTTGTTTAACTAATATCCCCTCTAGTTGTGTCCCCTTATCATTTGCATTTGCATAAATACAGTCCCCTTTATATCTCCATAGTACGTACACCATTTTGTCTAATTATCTGCCTTAGTGTTAGGAAACAGTCCATTGACTTCTCCAATTAGTTTACACTGCCTTAGAATTTATTTCTATTAAAGTAGTTCCCTTTCAAGCCTGACGGTCTATGGGGCAAGTGAAGTAGAGTTCACTTCTTTCTGTGACCTCGGCATATGAAGAGATAGTGTGGTCAGCACTATACCCAGCCGCCTTTACTTTCTTTAACGTGAGTTAGGTACCCATCAGAGTTGGGTGGACTCAGGGACGGTCTACTCACTTGAACCCGGATTCGAACTCGAAACTTACGGGTTAGCAGTCCAGCTCTCTACCGCTAGACCACTCCGTTCTATTCAATAAGACTGAATATTATCTGGCTTGTATCTCAAAGAGTTAACGCCCCTGTCTTACACGTTTTAGACGTAGTAACACGAACCACGGTATCATACTACGTCCCCTAGCTCGACGCGTATCCAGTTTTGGTTTCGTATGTATCCATGCGATCCAGGTATACCGTATCCACAGGATTTTGTATCCACATTTATTTTCAAGGAACGGTTGGTTAGATTTATCGTGTATCAACAAGAACTATTTATATCAACAATAGCTTCCTTTTACTGTAAACATCTTTCTACAAGTGACATGTATCCCGCTTTCATATTAAAAAAAAATAACCCAAAACCCGCGTCCGATCCTAGTTTTTAGTTAGCCCTTGGCGAGTAATGAATTCTTTTATAAATATAAAATTGGAAGGAAAAAAAAAACCTTCTGTAATTACAGGATTCGAACTTTGGTCTCCAACGTTTAACTTGGGAAAACATGGGCAGTACACACAAAGGAATCAATGACCAATCGCGATCCCTCAAATCAAAAATCGATATTTCCAACTGAATCCAACTGGGGCATAGACCTTCAGTAGATAACATTTTTCTGTAGGCTTTTAACTGAATAGAGGAAATTCAACGAAACGTCGGTTTTTTTTAGATGATTAATTATTTTCTAATTCACCTGGCCCCGTACTGTGGAGATCACGTGGCTTGGTTGAGTAGGAGGTGGGGTAGGGGGGGGGGAGGTTTGAGATTTCTGAAAGATTAGTGCTTGGGCACTGGCCTTATGTGGTCACGTGACGATGATCAACGAGCATGGGTTTGTGACGTCATCGTATAAGTGCCCGTGTGTGTGTGAGTGACGTTACGATGAAATGCCCACGTGTTTGTGACGTCACATTGAAGTGCCCGTGTGTTTGTGACGTCACATTGAAGTGCCCGTGTGTGTGTGACGTCACATTGAAGTACCCGTGTGTGTGTGACATCACATTGAAGTGCCCGTGGGTGTGACGTTCTATTTAGTACCCTATCGGGATCTATGCAAATGTCAAGTAGAGTAGGCCTTTTTTGTGCTATGATCTTAGACCTGAGTTGTAACTTTTCATTTAAAGAAATCGCCCCCCCCCCCCCCGCTCCCATGGGTAACATTTTGTTGATAACTTACATTTAAAGCAATATGAAGTGATATTTCACTGACAAAGGAAAACCTGACAATACCTTTTGATTTGTTATCAGAAATACGGCGGCGCCTCCTATTTCTGGCATGAAAAAAAAAAACAATTTCCAATTATTTTAGGCGGTCAGTGTTACAAAAACAACCCAGCCTTGACCTTAGCATTGTTGTTGTAGCCTTGACCCAACTTGCACATTATGAATGTCTCCTCTAGTCTTTTTCTTTAACCGTGAACATAACACACACACATCGGCTCCTAAGAACCCCATCACAATTACAATACATCGAAGTTTGTCGCCTTTGTATCTAACCCCCCCCCCCCCCCCCCCAACTTTCCGCATACTTTTCACACTTTTAAATGTTTACCTACCTATAGCCTATGCCACGCCCGTGTTGCCGCCCACCTGTATGTACACACAGGTACACACTACACGGTGTTTAGGCCGTGACCTAAGTCACTGTGTTGTACAACTGTTGACTGTCTTGGTATGGTTGCTATGGTAACGACATACTATCCTTCACCGTGTCTGAGTTAAATGCGTGACTAAATATCTATGCTGCTTTGTATTAACCTGTTAAGTTGGTTATACGTTTTTGATTACGTTTGTTTTTAAATTGCCAGCGCATTTTTTCCTCCAACATAGCGTAAAACTGGTGACTCATTTCTCTATCACTTAGCGTTAAATATTTATGCCACTTTTTATAGCGTTAAAATGATGTCCATGTGTGTTTCACCTAGCTTTATTTTGGTGACCTTCTAAATTGATGTCACATTTCTGTGTCCCCTAGCGTTAAATTGATGTCACA